TTTTAAAGGTGGGCCGTCGTGGTGTTATAGATTCATGAAATGGAAGCCTGTCTATTAGGGCACGCACGACGTTGTGTCAGCAGCTACCTCCCAATTACGAGGACAAACTTGCTTCGTTCCGCACATTCATACAAAGATAGCGGAGAATTCCATCAGCCCAGATGAAATAATAAATATGGACGAAGACCCTCTGACATTTGATTCGCCTCTCACTCGGACTGTAAATAAAAAAGGTGACTTCCCCCGTCATACTGAAAACAAGCGGCCACAAGAGAACACATTTTACCTGTGTTTTGAGCCGTGCAGCATCGGGCCTAAAGCTGCCAACGATAATCATTTTTAAGCGGCTGACTACAGAAATAATTTCATATATCTTTTCCCATTTATATGATTTGCATTATTCTATTTAAAGCCTAGTGGGCTGCAGTATTTTTCCTCGTAATTACGCAAATGCGCATCAAGATCTCTCTTTGTCTGGCCTCTTATGTGTTTCAGCGTAATTTCATTGTGCAAATGCATTTATCATGCTCATAAAAATATGGAGATTATTTTAACCTTAAGAAATGTTGGGTTTTTTTTCTGCGGGGGTTCAACGGGGGACCGCGTCAGCGGCCTCACCCGGACGCTCCCGGCGGCAGGGACGCAGGTTATTGTGTTTAAATTTTTGATGGGGAAAAAAAAAAAAGATTAAACAAAAAAAAAACTTACCTACCGACCCTATGCTGAAATTTGTTGTTACCGGAAACACACTATCTTTTTTGTTTGGCCTAATCTTGGCAAAGACAATTCGATGGTGCGAAGGTGGAGGCTCCGGCAAGAACAACTGAGCCAGTGTAAAAAGACAACCAAAGCTTTTAAAGGTGGGCCGTCGTGGTGTTATAGATTCATGAAATGGAAGCCTGTCTATTTGGGCACGCACGACGTTGTGTCAGCAGCTCCCTCCCGATTACGAGGACAAACCTGCTTCGTTCTGCACATTCACACAAAGATAGCGGAGAATTCCATTTGCCCAGATGAAATAATAAATATGGACGAAGACCCTCTGACATTTGATTCGCCTCTCACTCGGACTGTAAATAAAAAAGGTGACTTCCCCCGTCATACTGAAAACAAGCGGCCACAAGAGAACACATTTTACCTGTGTTTTGAGCCGTGCAGCATCGGGCCTAAAGCTGCCAACGATAATCATTTTTAAGCGGCTGACTACAGAAATAATTTCATATATCTTTTCCCCTTTATATGATTTGCATTATTCTATTTAAAGCCTAGTGGGCTGCAGTATTTTTCCTCGTAATTACGCAAATGCGCATCAAGATCTCTCTTTGTCTGGCCTCTTATGTGTTTCAGCGTAATTTCATTGTGCAAATGCATTTATCATGCTCATAAAAATATGGAGATTATTTTAACCTTAAGAAATGTTGGGTTTTTTTTCTGCGGGGGTTCAACGGGGGACCGCGTCAGCGGCCTCACCCGGACGCTCCCGGCGGCAGGGACGCAGAAGCAAACCCACGCCTACTCATTGGCCAGCGGTTTATAGTGCGGTGCGGGGCATATAATTACAAAATTGATTTTTTTTCATAAATCTGAGCATGCGGCTCTTAATCAGGTGCGGTCTGTAGCCTGGAATTTACGGTATTTGTATTTAACAGCAGTGAAATGGGCTTGGCCAGTCACTTTAATCTCATGTGTTCCTCTCGGCTTATGGGCAGAAAGTATCACAGTCCCTGTTGATCACAATGCTGTGTTCGCCTGAATCAAGTGAAAAGCAATGTTTTTTTTTTGTTGTTTTTTTTTTTGATGGAGCTGTGCTGGTTTTGATATCGTAACATGACAATGACGGTATTTTAATATCACACCGTCATCGTTATTGTTATTACATCCCTACAATTACAAGTGATAGGTTTTTGACAGCTCAGCTTCTGCCACGTAACTAAACCCAGAAATACTTGACGTTCTCAAACCCAGGCTCTTCAGTGCAGTATTGTAATTTTCAGTCGACAGTAAGTGGCGCACAGGGCAAAATGGCAGCCCCCTGAGAGGGAAGAAAATGGGTGTCTGGCTAAAAGACAATTTGAAATGGTCACAAGGGCTGAAAACCAAGGCTGAAATGTTTGCCATAATTCCAAAAGGTATGTCTGATGAGAAAAACAATGCTCATCATTTTGATTTAAAATCTGTGGTCAGTTGTTTGCTTGTAACGTGATCTATTCTGAGCTACTTATTACATGTGCCACTACATTAATCGGAGCAGCCATTTTACAGCCGTGTGACACGCCTGTTAATGTAAGCCTCACAAGATATAACAGAAGGTTGTTAAGTTGTCTTTTGAGCGTACTAGATGCAGTTGTTTTGACATTTGATTAAAGCTACAGCTGGATAAATCAAATTGGTAGTACGGGCGCTCCCCGCTTTACAAACTTTCGTGTTGCGAACAACGGTACATACGAACATTTTTGCGGGTACAGGTATGTCGAAAAATGTTCTCGGACAGAGATGCTGTCAGTTAGATTTTGTATTGCGCGCCTTTTTCCGAGTACTGTAGTACTTCTTTCCACCGCTAATACCGACGTGAGGCGCTGTGAGAGGAGGAGGAGGAGGAGGAAACGCCTGTCCCGATGAAGAAGTTCGAGACGGAACTCTCTCCCCCTCCATCATCTCCTGAAGCCTTCGAGTACATCTTCCAAAAGTAAGTTAAACTTCATTTTATTATACTTATATAAACCTTAAACATACTTATATAAGCCTTAAACATGCATTCCGTACAAAATATAGCACTGGAGCAACTTACGTACGAATTCAGCCAACGAACGATCCTTCGGAACGTATCTCGTTCGTTAGCTGGGGAGCGTCTGTAGTTTAAAACAAGGTTTCCTGTCGCAAAGAAGGTCTGGTAGGAAGCCGTCATTTTTTAAGAACATTTTTTAAACGACAGAATGCCGCTGCTCGCCTCTTGACCGGTACTCGTAAGAGGGAGCACATAACTCCTACTCTGGCATCCCTTCACTGGCTCCCCATACATTTTAGAGTCATTTTCAAGATCCTCTTATTTGTTTTCAAATCTCTAAATAACCTTGCGCCACCTTACCTCTCTGAGCTCATCCGCCCCTACACACCTGCCCGGCGCCTCAGTTCTGTGGACCAGACATTATTAGAAGTACCAAGAACTAAACTGAGGCTCAGAGGGGATCGAGCCTTTTCTGTTGCTGGTCCCTCTCTCTGGAATGACCTCCCACTGAGTATTCGGCAAGCCTCCTCGCTGCCCATCTTCAAAACCCGCCTCAAAACTCACTTGTATTCTTTGGCATTTGACTCAGCATGACTTAGATTGTTCTTGGTTTTGCTGTTCGGTGCTTTCTACTGTTTTTATTACCGATTTGCTTTACTGTTTGTTGTATATGTTAATTTGCTCCATGTACAGCACTTTGTATGCAGCGATGGCTGTTTGAAAGTGCTCTATAAATACAGTTGAGTTGAGTTGAGTTGAGACATTGACTGTGCATTTACTTTAAGACAGAGACTCCGCATACCGGACACAGACTGGCTGAAGCATAGGTGGTGTCTGCTCAAATTGACAAACGCAATACCCCATTTTAATCCGAATGAAATTCCAATAGGATTTGTCCTTTTTATTTCATCTTTGGTGGTTATATGGAGCATTTTCATTCCGTTTGGTCTTTCGGTTTCACTCTAATACAGGTTACATGGATTCAAATTGTTAGTTTGAAAGCGTGTATATTTTTTTCAACTGAAATACTTCGGTTACAGGCCACATTAAGGGTGGATTTAATTTATTTTTTAATCCCCAAAACCTGCTGTGTGTGTAATAACTGCATTAAGCCTTGAGGGACTCACCTAGCTGCTGTGACATACAAGGCTGCTTTTTGCCTGAAGATGTTCTGGGGTCTCTGGTCCACCGTTCCATACACTGCCTTTTCTACTTGACTGAGCCAAGACTGACGCATACTGTCAATCATCTTGTCTGCCTCATCAATAATCTGTCCCAAATAATACAATAAATCAGAACAGCAGTTTGAAAATAACAAACACTTGAATTGTGGGAACCTACAAGGAATCTGAGGTGATCCAGACACATCCCTGAATTCTTGTTGATATGATCAACAAGTCGACCGGGAGTGGCCACAACAATGTCAGCTAAGCATCGTCTCATCCCGCCTCTAGAAAATAATGAAGAAATAAAATGGATTTATAAAGCATGGGGCATCTTTACAGCTCTTAAGTGAGTTGGACTTTTACCATCACCTCTGTTCAGAAAGCGAAGCCACCTCTGCCTCAAATGACTTCTGGCCTGTCAGCATGACCACCCTCAGAGCGGTTCCCTCAGCGTATGTTGCAAAAACCTTGCAAACCTAGACAGCCAAAAAGTAACAACCGCTTCCAGTCACTACAAATTCATCACTTAAGTCCCCCCCCGCCAAAAAACCTTTCATTTTTAGAATTATTCTCCTTTGAATTGTGTGCAATTTGAAAAAAAAAAAAAAAAAACAACAACAACAACAACAAAACATCCATACTCCCAAAGCATGGAAAGATTTTGCCTCGTTAATGTTATTATTGGTACAGAAAAACTTCTGAAGACCTGCTGGGCGAGCTCTTTGGTTGGTAACACAGCCAAGGCGCGGACTTTGCATACAACCCTCTTCATCAGCACCTGATGGAAAAAGAACACCTTTAGTTTCCTCGAAGCTTGAGTCAAATAGGTGCTTGACATTGTCATAAGGGGCGAAGCATCCCAAAAGTTTTAGTCCCATAATCGGAGTTGATGAAGAACACAATCTTTATCGGGGATTCCACAAAAGTGGTGGAAGATTAATCGGTAAATTGTAATTGAAGTGCACTGGATTTACACCATCATGGTGCCCGTTTCGCTTTACCGAGGGTCATAGTCACATATTCGCACACACAATCATACACTAACAGGACACGTGCTTTCGAAAATGGACAGATAGATAATTTCGACCATGGTCGTGCAGAGCAAGGTGGGGTGGCTCAAGGTTGCAAATTCCACCATGAGAACCACATACCAAGATGGCGCAGACGCAAGGGACCGCCTCGGTGATATGTTCCTGAGTATTGTCTTTGTCATTTGTTTTTGGGGATCCTACACCATTTACTTATTCAAGAGAAGGCTTGCTAAGCCTTAGGGATTCTACTTTCAGACTTTTTTTTTTGTTGTTAACACACACACACACACACACACACACACACACACACACACACACACACACACACACACAAATCCACAAGGTTTTTCTGAGATAATAGCTAGCTGGGCGGTTGGACTGTATGGAGCATGGAGACGGCGCCGGAGGAGAAGGGGGAAATGAGCCAGCGTGCTCATCAAGCTAATTCAGCTGGAACCCCGCTCCCATCGATCCATTTTGCTAATCAATATTCTCTGCCAAACAGGATGGATGAACTTCTCACAAGGACCAACAAAACATATGCACATTCTGCCGTGTTGTGCTTCACCAAAACCTGCGCAAATGTTTGTTCGTCGATGTGTGCCCTGAGACTGGCTTGCAAGCGGTTCAGGCTTTACCCCGTCGACGACCCGAAGACAGCTGGGATTGGGTCCAGCACGCCCGTGCCCCTTGCGAGGATAAAAGGATTAGAAAATGGAAGGATGGAAGAGAAGCAATGCAGAAAGCCTGAAAAAACTGTTTTCTGCCAACAACTGCATCCGTGTGGAATGGCCAGAAAGCAGTTACAAACTACAGGAGAGCATCCCACCGAGCAATGAACAATAAAGGGACTGTCCGGTGATGAAACATGTTTTTCTGCAGATTTGAAAAGGACACCTTCTCTTCACACACCTGCCCACACCCCACCAGAAACTACCTCATTCACGCCCCTGACCCGCTTTCCCTGCCCTGGTGATCCACGAACGGGATGTGAGACGGCTCTTCATACAGCAGAAGATCAAGAAGGATGCAGGGGCGGATGGGGTGTCTCTGCTCGACCACCTGCAGTTTGCCTACCGGGCAAACAGGTCATTGGATGACTCAGTCAACATGCACTAGATCATGGAACACCTCGATGGCACAGGCACCTATGCAAGGATTCTGTTTGTGGACTTCAGTTCTGCGTTCAACACCGACATCCCGGAATTCCTTTCTGGCTAGCTTGTCCAGCTCAGTGTGTTTTCTACAATCTGCCAATGGATCCTCAGCAGGCTGGGAAAAACATCATCATCAACATGCACAATCAGCACTGGGGCCGCCTCCTAGGATAATGCTCTCTCTCTACGAATGACTGCACTCCAAGGCCTCCAGCCGTCAAACTCAAAGTTAGCAGGTGACACCACAGTCATCGGTCTCATCAAAGACAGTGACGAGCCTGGGTACCGACAAGAAGTAGAGTTGCTGGCGCTGTATAGGGAGCCAGTGAAGGGATGCCAGAGTTGGAGTTATGTGCTCCCGCTTATGAGTAACAGTCAAGAGGCAAGCAGCAGCATGCTGGACCAACGGGAAATGCGTAAATGGAGGATTGGCTGACTTCAAAGTAAAGGGCATTTCAGTAATCCAGCCAAGATGTGATGAAGGCATGAATTACAGTTTCAAAGTGCTCTTGAGAAAGAAGAGGCTTTACTTCAGCCAGCTGCCTAAGATGAGACAAGATGTACCGTATTTTACAACGTCACCAATTTGCCAGTCCAATTGAAAATCACTGCCCAGTTTAAGACCCAAGTTTGACACTGTTGGCTTGAGATAAGGAGCCAGGGGGCCCAAGTCCACAGGATGGGATGAACAAAGGCCACTGGGACCAAACACCGTCACCTTCTGTCTTCTTTCATTGAAATTCAAGACATTTTGTGCCATCCAGGTCTTTATTTCCTCCAGACAGGATAAAAGTGGACTCCATAATAAAGCGTCTTTTATGCTCAGCGGGACATAGATCTGACAGTCATCTGCATAGCAGTCAGTGTTGTGTCCAAGGACCGGCAACCCGAGGCCAAGGCCAAGGCCAAGGACTTGCCTCCGAGGCCAAGGCCAAGGCCGAGGACTTGGAAAATTTTCCGAGGTAAGGCCAACGCCAAGGACTTGAGAAATTTTCCGAGGCCAAGGCCAAGGACCAAGGACTGATTTTGAAACTGAGGCCTAGCCAAGGACATGTATAAAACAATGCTATCATACCACTTGGCAGGTCCTCATGATTTGCAACACCCCTCCATCATAACCCTTTGCACTCCCTAACGCTTGAATGAAGTGATTTTATTCAAAGAGTAGAACAGTCAGGGTACGTGTTATTTATACTGAGAAAAAGAAATAAAATCACATGATATACATTTATGAATTAATGTTTTAGTGCAGTAGTTTCTTAATATGAAGTAAATCAACACTCAACAGGCATGACATGGCACGGAACACAAGTTGAGAAATGACTTTGCATAGAAGTCAATCACTGACTGCAGAAAAAGCGGTAATCTCGCAGTGATCATTTTACAGTTTACCTGCAGCGAGTCCAAGGGACTCACTGATCAGAAAAGTATGAATCCCATTATGCATTGAGAGAGTCCCAAATTTCAAATTCCGAAATGGTCTACTTATTCAATTGCATATGATAACACAAACAACATATACATACAATTATAAACAAATGCTGCAAAAATTTAAATAATTCAGGAGCAGGCCTGAGGATTTCAGAAATTCATGGTAACCGTTTTTCGGTTCCGTCGGATTACCCAATGGGAAACCACAATAACTGATGTTGGGTTCCGTAAACGTTCATCATGGGAACCCATTTTTCTATTTTGACTGATATTGAT